TTACTAAAATATATAATAAAACCATTATACGTTACATTGAAAAATCGCTTTGGTTTTTATAAATGTAACCATAGCCGTCTTGTTTAGGATCGCGACAAATTCATATAAAAGTAGTTTTTCAACTTACTTTTTATGTTGGTTAACGTTAGGCTATCTAATAACTGGCTGGGTCGTCCATTTATTAGCCGCGGTAGCAAATACCTCAACGTTCTGTCGCCATAAACGTTGTTAGTATTTCTAGTGTTTTGTTTTTTTGTAAATTTTTAATGCTCTTTTTGTACCTTGGTGGTTTTTTTTCTTCCAGTGTTGCCTAGAAAGAATCGCTTGTTAGCGATAAGCCTAATAACTTACGTAACCTGTTTATATATGTATGGTTAAGGTAACGAAGTGTAAATAAATACATATTTTAATATTGATTACTTGTCAAAATCGAATTTGTTTGCAATATCTAAAGATTCCATCAAACTATTTGGATGGTCCTTGACAAAACGTCGAGTTTATTTTTCGAGTACCCGATTGATGTTGGAAATCGATTGAAACTTCTCAACTCGAATAAGATTAAATTATCCGTCAAAGGATTACAAATTAATCGGATTACTCAAAATGATTGTTACGAAATTATGATGACTATGACTTAAATAGTATGATTTTATGTTCTAATTTAAAAAAAAAACTTCAGTTATGAGCTAAATTTGGGGTTTTAACCCAACAATCAATGAGTTAACCACAAGTTACATTCACAAATAACTAAACAATCTTTAAATTAGTTATTTTCCGTGGTCCTAGTGTCAAGCCTCAGACACAAAATGTTGACACCTTATTACCAGATATTAGGTACGCCGACCGTATAACATAGCTTCAGATATTTTGAAAAATAATCTGACCAGAGACGTCGCGATTAGCCATAAACAAAACCGAACGCTTCTCACCTTTAACTTCTATACCCTACTGCCACATATTAAAAAGCACTTGTACAATTACACTAAATCACGGGTCAGGTCAACCTCACTAACAGAGGGGCACTGTCACAGTGATCCTCTACAATGGAACCCGAATGTGGAGTACAATAAAAGCCGCTTTGTACGTTGATTACGACATGCGACACTAAGCACGAACCGACAATCACAAAATATTGGATTCAAATCTGTACTTTTTGAAATTCATTTTACTGGTGCTTAGTGCCAAAGCTACCTTACTAATACGGAACTATTACACGGTAACTGCCTTAAAATACGCTAAATAAGTCTAACAAGAATAATCTAAGTGGCGATTTTTTTACAATTTTAAGAACCTAAATGATAATTTTTGTTAAGTTAAGTAGATGTTTTATACATCTAATTAAACAACCATATAATTTGATTACTTATAATAAAGAAGCTGCGGAAATTTATTTGATAAAATATAAAAAGTGTGGTAGCTCATGTAAGAGATTGTAAGTTACGTAGCTCCAATCAAGTTATCGACAATTTAAACTCGTAGCCATTGATATACAAAAAACCCAAGATGCACACTCAACGTCAAAAAAACGTCCTCAAAAAATGAGCGCAACATTCTAAATTGTGCGCTCATTTCAAATAGTCTCGCGTCTACAGTGGAGTCGATGTTATTTATTTGTGTTTTTTTTATAAATAAATTTATGTACTCTTGAACTTCTTTGTGTGTAGTTTTTGACAAATATATTTACGCTATATAAAGTGTGGGTCAGGAGGTAGCCAATTTAACATTTTTTTTAATTTAAAGAAAAACTTTTTAACCGGATTAAAGTTATGTATTATTATAAATTGACAACTATTTAACATCCAACACCTTTTGTCTTCAGTCACCGTGACCACTCACGCTGTAAAGCACCCGAAAAGTCGGATAAATTTAAAATTATGTTAAATAGTTGTAAATAAAAAAGTCATGTTCGACTCCACTCAATACCTTGTCCTACCGACCACGGTCGGTCGTAAAATTTTATTGCTTTAAGTACGTATACGCTGCGTTGTAATAACAACTTTAAGCAATTCGCGTAAGGTTGATTTTGCAATAATATATGCTTGTAACATATACTGTTATGGACAGAAATATTGTTTCGGGACACTTTCGAGCGTTACTTTTATATGAGACTGTGCATCTTGGGTTTTTTGTATATCAATGCTCGTGCTTGGTCAGACAACTTAGCCATGGTCTTAGCCACGGGTCACAGTAATTGATTTTAAAACTTTTGCTTTACAAGAAATCATCGGTGACAAAACACAATTAATATTAGATACAAGTTACAGAGTTAGCGTGGTAGTTTCATAGTGTTTAAAGGCCGGCAACACATTTGGGAGCCTACTGGCAATGTAAGTGTGCCCATTTCCCTCCTGTTATGTTGCCATAAAAAAAAGTTTAATAGTAATCCTTTTTTACTTATTTTTAAAATAAATTATTACAATAATTGTGGTATACTGTCATATGTACCGGTAATGCGTGAAACAAAAACTCCTTTCACTAAACTTTTTCCTTATTGTATTGTTCCGTTTATATAAAGAAGGAATATGTGTGAATCTGCAATAGCAATTGTTGCATTAAAATTTACCACAAATAAATACATAAACGGTGCTGTGGCTCGGCGATATATTGTCATATAACTGCGCCAAGGTGCGGCATGTCAATTTGTCAGTACAAAATGCGAATGGTGGCGTCAGCTTTAAGCTCATCCATCATTTACATTCTAGGCATTCAAAAACATCCATTAAGCTATCAAAACTAACACGTAGGCTTTCTGTTATTTATCAACTGTTACGTTCATTTATTATTTTATCCATATCCTGAAATATTACTATAAATTCAAAGTATTGAATCATTTTCAGTAAACTTTCTTTTAGGCTCCGACTCTAGGTTGACGTTCTTAATGATTTACAGTAGTCGTGGTTAGGTAGTGACTACATCAAGGTGAGTCATAACAATATTTAAGTTGAGTCTGGAAATATGTTGCCGTTTTAACTTCAATTATTTCAATAAGCACTTAAATATGTTGAAGTTTATTTTAATGTGTAGTATTCGTGTATACCAAAGACAAATCTACAACGATGTAATGTTGACGAATAGACATACTTTTTACTTTTTTTTTCGGCAACGCCACGGCACGAGCCTTCTGACAATGTGAGTGTCCTTGGGCGTTATCACTAAATTATAAACGTCTATATTAAATAAGGAATTTACATTTACTACCAGTAGTCAAAAATTTCTGTTTTTTAAATATTTTAATTTTACTTTATTTATGTTTACCTACATTGTCATACATTTTAGATAAAAGAGTTTGTAACATATACCATAGCAATGTATTATGTATGATGTGGTGAACTTGAATAAATAAATTGAAGAACGCACTAACATAATAGTGAAAACAAAAGAAACAGAAGTATGTCTTAAACTAGTCAAATTTCTTAGTAAATAAGTTGTCCTGGAGGACAGAAAAACTATTTTTAAACTTTATATAAATAATAAATAATTTTAATGCTCCTCTAGTTACTGTGATATTTAAATATAGTTCTCAAATAATATACGAATAATATGAAATTAAGAACCGTTGTATACACATCACGCAAATATTCGATGTAAATACAATTCAATGAACCAAATTACACAACAATTTAAATCTCGTGAGAAGAGCTCTGTACGTCATTTCCTCGCAATTTTCAAACTCGCAAACATTTCATTCCAATCGTAAAGTATAGTAATTGCGATAAAGTCAATGAAGGTCACCCGTCAAAACTTAATTCTAATCTTAAATTATGGGCGGCCTTCGTCTAGGGATGGAACTTGGAAAATCGTGGTGATGACAGTGTAAAACAAAAGACAAAACGATAGCGCCTTTCCATTTGATTTCGATTGGTCAACAGCGGCTCTAGTCCAACAAGCATAGACACGCGACATGATTCTTCATTTCTGGTGTTCTGATTCAAAGGAAGCTCATAACGAGATTTAATAACTAGCTATGGGATGGTGAGGATCGAGGACGTTACGATTATTGCATTACACATATCTAACACATTGTGCTTCCAATACAGTCTCTATATATTAGTAGCCATCCGTTTCTCAATATTAAGTTTTCGTAACATTTATTTTAAAAAGTACATCATATAATTTCATGTGACGTCAAAATACCTAACAATTTACCGTTTGTAAATTACACATTCTAGAATGGTTTTCTTTATACGCAAATTCCTACAAGGCGAATGATTAACACATAATCAAATAACGGTGTTAGAGCGTCTCTAGGCAACCAGAGCAGTACCAAACTTACACATATGGTTAATAAAGATAGAAAATTTAAGGTAAAGTAGGTCATTCAATAACAATTAGGTCGTTGTTGAATAGATTGCAGCAATAAGATGTGGCCGGATGCAGAATAAAGGTTTTACAGCGCAGTGGGGTGCGTCTACGCATTATTTCGACAGCCACAGTTCCGCCTTTTTCATAGCAAATATACGCTTCAGTGCTTTAACATAAATGTGATTTACCAATACATTGCGTAATTGAGAAATAAATGCTTTTGATTTGTTATTTATTCCGTAATTATAACAAATTTTAGAACATTATTGTACAGACTACACAGTTATGGATGTATTTATCATAAAAAAAATGAAATGTTTATATACACTAAGATATGATATGGAAATCTAATATATAATATTCTCCTGTCGCGGTGTTTGTAGTTAAACTCCTCCGAAACGGCTTGACCGATTCTCACGAAATTTTGTGTGCATATTGGGTATAACTGAGAATCGGACAACATCTATTTTTCATCCCCCTAAATGTTAAGGGTAGTCCACCACTAAATTATATTTTTTTAAATTTTTAGGTAAAATTTTTTTTTATGTTACAAGCATTAAAAAATACATACAAACCTGATTTTCACCCCTCTACGATCAACCCCTATTTTTTATTATAAATGATATACATGGCAAAACGACGTTTGCCCGGTCAGCTAGTGTATGTATAAATGATTAAACTAAAGGGACATGAAGAGGTTAATATACAAAAAAGTCCCCAAGTTTGTTTGGTGTCATCCGATCCACTGACTCTTTCCGTAGGTCAGTGAAGCCTATCATAAAAGAATCTGAATTGAGAACAAAAATGTAACTTAATTTTAGTAATTTTCTTTATCGCGAACATTAAATTTAAACCACAATTATTTTCCAGTTATTGCAACTACAAACGCATCGTTTTATTGAAAATGTTTCATACAAATCCTATATTTGCAGAGTAATCTGAGAAAATAGAATGTAAACTGCGGTGTACATTTCAAAGCAACATAGTACGCGTCCGTTGACCCAATACAAATAAATCGTTGGCCCATTATGTCAGTATTCGCATACACATTGTGTGAAATTTAATGTAGTTAAGTAATTGGAATTCTTTATATTTCATATTAAATTGAACTTCTTTGTCTGAAATAAAGGTGGATTTTTATGTTTTCAATCGAGCTTAAGCAGAATAAAATGGCAAAAGGTAAAGATAATCGATCTTCGAAAATAGACATAATAATAAAATCGTGAAAAAATCCTTCGTTTACTGAGAGAACCATTTAAATCAATACATACGTTTTTTCTTAAGTACTTTTTATGTATAATTAATTATTTCTGATTTATACTAATGAATTTTCATCTACCACAATATATCTTTGATTCATACAAAAAATTAGATTTCTTACTAAAAATATATTTTTTCAATTCGATTTGCTAACGTGTAATCTATAATGTACATTAAGAAGTCCTCAATCTAAAAGAGCAGAATATAACAAAAACTTTATCCCAAATATTTCACCGAGATTGAAGGGTCTATTTATCATAATATTTTTGCGTATAACCTTATTATACGTTACACAAAATGTTGCAAAGGCGACCGATAAAGTATCTCGAACCTTTCATACTTATAATAAGATTATGATAGTATACATATAAACAGGTCAATCATAAATAAATAATGTGTGTATGTCGTTATAAGAAATAGACCATGATATTAAATGTTTTATTAACTTTTTAGGGGTTGTAATCGACTTAAAAAAAATTATAAATACGTGTATTTTTAAATTATTTATGGTGCAGTTTATGTTGTCGGCCATCTAAAAGGTAAGCGTAATTAAACAATCGATTTAATAGATGCGAAATTCTCTTTTCAAAAATATTAATTTAAAATAGTATGTATTGTAAAAAATATTATTAAACATATTTTACAGTAGTACCTCTTAAGACAATTATCTATGGACGAAATTATTGTATATCATAAAAATTTACAATTGCTCTTTGCATCTTTAAAACAGATAATATCACTTTGCTGATGACATTAACTAGGTTGCTAAATAACAACAAAATTGCTTACCTTTTCCTCGTTTGGCTAAATTAGCTTTCTTCACATTCACACTTCTTTTTATACTGCATGTTAATCGTTCAATGGCCCTAAGTATCTTTTTACTAACTTTATTAATTGTTCTTCGCTTCGGATCGTTATATTTCGTTCGAAAACCTTCCACAATTTTTTCACAACCGGAATCAGAGCTATCATCAGTTTCAGAACTCGAACCGTCCGAAATTGTATGAAAAATATATGGACTACTCGCGAAACAGGGGGCGTTCATTTTACAAAGCAAATCATCAAGATATGCAATTGGTTATAAAGTCTTGGGGACAATGACGGAACTGAGAGATTTTTTCGCTTACAAGACGTCTTTGGAGCGTGACACCGCTCCCTTTGACAAGCCCAAGACCTTGGTCTTGTTCTTCTAATAATTACCCATTATTACTAAATAGCAATGAATTATTTGATTGTGTCATTTTTATATCGTCTTCGGTTTATACCAGAACTTATGGTATTATAATAAATAAAACATAATTTAAGTGTAGTTTGTCTCGTCTTTGAATTAAAACCAACTTTAATATGTGTCTTTTACTATGTGTCGATACTTAATTGGCTATTAATAATAATCATCGGTGGAAGTATTTTTGACACTCCTATTTTCAGCTGTTTAGAGACCCAGTACCTTGGACACTTGCAATACCTCTGTCGTTTTAAACCCTCTGAATCCCTTAAGAATATATTTTAATCATATATAATTATAATAAATTTGAAAATATTAGTAATTAATGTTTATTATAAAATTTGTCTTATTTTAAATAAAATACTGATTTATTTAAGATTTTAATTCGATAAATGAAGAGAAAAGTTAATATGTACTCGAAACGTATTTCGAATCAAATAAAAATAACACATTACTAATTCTTACATATACGTTTTCTCTATCAGATAATGTAAACTTTAATTTGACAATGTGCCAACATCTAGATATAAAAAGTAGGTGAATAGTGTATTGTACTTGATTATATTTACGAATCAACGTGCGTTAGAGAACTCTTTATATTAAAGATTTTTTGACAAAATAAAACAAAGCCTCCTCTATGCAAAATGCATTGAGAACTTGAGTTCAATTCCAAGATTTTTTTAAAGTCCAAAAATATAAAACAGATGCAAAAATCCATTTTTCCACTTCACTTTTTGATTCTATAATCGGATAGTCATTATTATTCATCCAAAATCACTCCCTTTATATTAACATAAGAATTTATCTGTAATTTCTTGGTCCACAGATACAAAACAAACATTCGTTTATATATTTAAAAAAGTATAATTTACACTTAAAATTAAAATTTAATGGTCTGAGAACCAAACACATAGGAGAGTCATAAAATCGAGTTATTAGTGCATACGACCTTAATAAACAAAATCCCTTGTAACGCTGTCATTCCAATTTAAATGTTAGTTTTGTTAATGCTAAAAGTTATTTGGATTTCCATTATCCTTTTTAACCGCAAAGTGAAAATGGAAAGGACCGGGCAAAGCTGTTAAGCGAAGATATTTATTATTAACATTAAGAGGTATTTACGAACACGACATAAAGTTGATTATTAAATTACACGTGTTTTGATCATACTGACCGTTATTTTATGCGCCGCGATTGCTAAAAGGTAATCGTAACGTAAGTAAACATAGCAGTTATACGCCTAAATCCCTTTGCACCGAAAACACCATAATGTATTTTAATAAAAAATATCAAATATAACATAAGAAAGACATAAGTGTAAGACATTTTCAAAATGAGATTCGGGTATCTTGAAATCAAAAATACCTAAAATATATATTGGGAATGGGTTAAATTGTAAATATTTTACATTTTTGTTTTTATTTCTTTACATAAGAAAGATATGAACTATGGCAATATATAATGGTAAGAATTATAATAATATTCATCGTTGCTTCGGTATTTAGTTCTGAAATAAATACTGAAGATGCGAAATGTTAATTAGCTTAATTTAAGGCTACATTTAGTACTACTTCAAGTTTATATTGTGCTTGTGCTACTAATATTTTAGCTTCTCACCAAGCATCGTAGAATTTTTTTTTCATGCCAAATTATTATGATTTGTAAGTGTAAAATGCATCAAAAAATAAATTAGGGATTAAAAGGATTTCCTATAAAAAATGATATGAGTTGAATTCATGTAAAACACAATCTTAAATTAAAATGTTAAATTAACCCAAAATAGGAACGGAAGCTTTAAAACATACTTTGCATACCCCAGTAATTTTGTCTAAATAGTTCATAGTTCGTTTGAGAAAATCCGCAGGTAGCGGCAACTTCATGCATTTTCATACGATATTATGAGGGTTTTAACTTTTACAAAACAAGTTTCGTAATCACAGTCGCGCTCAGCCCTCTTCAGACTGAAACATTTCACGTTGGTGACTTAGCTCCAAGAGGTTTAAGTAAGGAGGTACTCTATAAACTAAAGCGAACGTAACTGTATTTTAAAATAACATTTCTACTTACTTCACGGGCTCTTAAAACATAAGTGTAAGACATTATCAAAATGAGATTCGGGTATCTTTGTACTGTTCACGGACGATTTTGTTTACAAAATGTTATACGATTATCATGAAATCAAAAAAACCTAAAATTAATATTGGAAATGGGTTAAATTGTAAATATTTTACATTTTTGTTTTTATTTTGTTACACAAAATGATGTGGACTGCGAACATTGCTCTACTGAATCAAACAGGCGTATAAATTACGAGAGTTTAGATTTGTATTATCCACGGTATGTATAAGATTGTTTAATTTAAATCAGTACCTTTAGATCTATTTTTATATTAAATATCAGAGCAATAGACTTAGAAATAAATCAATCAAATAATTGAAACATCGTAAAGCTCGAAGTAGGACTGGCATGTGCAATAGCCACCATGCGAAAACATTTTCATAATTAATCGAAGCAAGGCAGTTTATAATATGCATTAATCAGACCAAGTTTTAGAAGGAGAACAACATATTAAAATTAGAACACTCACCTTGTGGCTTGTAGAGACATCTCGGCGATTTGTAAATAACTGAAGAACTTAATCGTCTTTCCAGATTACCACCGTTCTTATTAAATTCATTATAATTCTCAAGAGTTGGAGTAATTATGTACTCATTTTGACTACTGTTTCTCAAGTCACTAACCTTTGAGTGGTTTTTTAAATGATGCAAACCGTTAGATTTATCAATCGCATCACTAGAACTGTTCAACACCATTTTCTTTATCGTCTTTACTTCTTCTATTTCACTGATTTTCTCTTCTATTACCGAATGTTTGGTTATTTCTTCTTTTGAATAGAAGTCTGTATCGCTTTTAGAATTCAACATAGTGTGTGCATGAGTTCCATTTGCTTCGGGTCGATGATACTTTTCAAAAGGGTCACTGTTGCGTTTCGTCTCAAATGGATTTCTTCTACTGTCTTGCGCTGCCGATTGAGAATCATTTTCATTGTAATACATATTAGTTTCTCTTGTAATCGGTATGTTTACAGATCTTGTCTCAAATATTTGCGATTGACTTGATTCAGATGCATTGGGTAAGGTCGAATGAAACTCATTGTTTGATTCTTTAGATTTGTTAATTGAGTTATTCCTATCTAATGTAGAAAATCGACCGTTTGGTATCGGTAACCTGGAAGCACTTGTACAATTTAGAGGTAACGTGGTGTAAAACGGGTTTGTTGGGTGAATCTTCGGTGGTTCTTGAACGATTGAGGTATATGTTGTAGGTGGAGAGCTAAGTGATCTTAATGGCGGGGCTGTGGGCCTGTGTTGTGGAGGTCGGATAGTGGCGTAAACCGGAGCTTGTAAGACTGCTTTACCGTTGTTTAGATCACCTATTAGCTGTGATGGTCCTGTAATAAGAGAAGATTGAAATGAAGATGAAAATTTGAAAAAAGCATTCTAGATATATTGTATGTGCTACGTAGAAGCTCAAAGTTTACCATTTAATAATAATACCTTAACCATGCAAAAAGAATTTCGATTACTCGTAGATACAATTCAAAGTTGAAACAATCTCTAAAAAATTGTATTCATCAACGTTATTTTATAATGAGGGTGTTATACAGCTGTTGACAGCGTTTATTTCTTGAAATTGAATACCATTAGCGGTACATATAAAAGTTAGCTAATGTTATGTTATAGACTCGTAGCTTAGGCCTATTTTGATGTCTTAAATTAATGTTACAAAGTTCTTTCTGTAATTGGTGAATATTGTTTTTATGAAGCCCAATATCGCAAGGAATTATAAAAGTATTTTTGTCTCATTATGGTGACAAAATATTCTATTTTTAAATGAAGCAATTCAATTGTATTGTTATATTTTTAAGTTATTTAAAATTAGATACCAATTCTTCGCTAGATTAAATAAATTATATTTATGAAAATAAGGTGTTCACATATAGCAAATATACCCGACATTCTTATACAAGCGGATGAACACTGGCACACAATAAAGCTTAAATCCTAAAGATGAAAGTTTGAAATAATATTTCCTAGAGCACTTCCATTCGCATATCGGCTTATGTACGCTTCTAGGCAATGGAATATGCCATACAAATACCTCAACCTAGATTTCTATTCATCAATTGAATGACTAGAATTAAGGGACTGAGCATATTTACAATTTTTAACCATAAACAAATCATACAAATAAGAAAAATTTAGAAACTCGAAATTTATATTTTAGTAAATGTTATGAAAGAATCAATCAAATTTTCGTTTATATAACACTTATATAAATGTTATTTTTAAATATACATTTACGGTTCGTTACGAATGGCTAAAAGCCTCTGACATTAATATAATCATCGAGTATTTAGTTTTAATAAATGGCTGTATGGAGCAACCATTACACCACCTGACATGCTGTAGCAAAAGAACTTGTAAAGAATGAATATTATTTATAGAGATCAGTTAGTTAAGTTTTTTTAATGCGTTTTATGTGACTAATATTAGTAAGTAATACTTCTTTCTCTATACTTCGTGGCTAATATTAGAAACAAAGACTTTGCGATCGATTTTTGTCAACAGTAGAGTCTAAACCGATAATCGACCCAGAAAATATGTCCTATGTCGTAATAGTTAGGTGAATTTAAAAAGAAGTAATTTATGTGCATCATGAAGGTAAAAATCTTTTTCTGATAATTTAGTAAAATAATTCCAAGGGAATAAAAATAAAGGTGAGCTTCAAAATATTTTTTCCCTACTAGATGATCGAGTTTCAAAAGACAAATAAACTAACTTACTTTTCAAGTCCGCAGCCTTCCCGATGGATCTTCTTCGAGGTGACATCTCCTTGTCTCTGACAACAAGAAAACTTAGATTAGAACTTGAGCAGGGAGCAGTGTAATATAACTTTTCTGTAATGACTAAACTGTTTTCAACCATGCTAAAATTCCTTGTTTTCTACCTATTTTATCGAAACATACTAATTACTATGCATACTCGCCCAGATATAAGGGCATTTAATAATGTCATCAAATTCAGTAGATGTGAACTTTATATCTTACGCACGTTTTTACGCACACAGAAAATATTTTGATGAATTTTAGATTGGGGACCGACACACAAAAACTGTCTGTAACATTAAATTTAAATTATTTTCTCCTTCGAAGTTACTACACTGATTATTTCTCAAGGAATATAACGATAGGCAATACATATCAAGTTACTAATTTCACATCATCGAACAACATTAAACTAAACCGAGTTTTTTATTTTCATGTTTAATCGGTAAAATGAATTACGTCGCATTTAATATGCCTAATGGTACGGGAGGTAGCAACGTTTTCGAGAAAGAATTCCAGGTCAGCTGATTTTGTGATATGTCTTCCTTCTTGCACTTCCGGTTAGAGTCTGGGCAGTCTGGCTGGCGGTAGCGGTTGCGTTCATTAGTGCGCATCCTATCTGTCCAGGTAATAATCCTGGATTTTAAAAGCATTTTAAGAAGCGTAATTTTTGATTTTTCCTTTTTAAATACGTCTACCTGACATACTTTTTTTATTGCCAGACATTTTTCACGTTGCTAACTATGTGCCAGACGCGATTTTAAGTTTTATTTTTATAAAAATTTCAAAGCATTTTAGAATGTCTGTAATTTTAATATTATGTTATTTAAATATAAGAAAAACTGAAAATGAATTTGCCAGACATTAATTCGATTGTTAAGTCTTGAATTAAAATGATAAAGTATTGCAGTATGATGAAGCATTGCATTTTAAGAAGCGTAATTTTTGATTTTTCCTTTTTAAATACGTCTACCTGACATACTTTTTTTATTTCCAGACATTTTGCACGTTGCTAACTATGTGCCAGGCGCGATTTTAAGTTTTATTTTTATAAAAATTTCAAAGCATTTTAGAATGTCTGTAATTTTAATATTATGTTATTTAAATATAAGAAAAACTGAAAATGAATTTGCCAGACATTAATTCGATTGTAAAGCCTTGAATTAAAATGATAAAGTATTGCAGTATGATGAAGCATTGCATTTTAAGAAGCGTAATTTTTGATTTTTCCTTTTTAAATACGTCTACCTGACATACTTTATTTTATTGCCAGACATTTTTCACGTTGCTAACTATGTGCCAGACGCGATTTTAAGTTTTATTTTTATAAAAATTTCAAAGCATTTTAGAATGTCTGTAATTTTAATATTATGTTATTTAAATATAAGAAAAACTGAAAATGAATTTGCCAGACATTAATTCGATTGTTAAGCCTTGAATTAAAATGATAAAGTATTGCAGTATGATGAAGCATTGCATTTTAAGAAGCGTAATTTTTGATTTTTCCTTTTTAAATACGTCTACCTGACATACTTTTTTATTGCCAGACATTTTTCACGTTGCTAACTATGTGCCAGACGCGATTTTAAGTTTTATTTTTATAAAAATTTCAAAGCATTTTAGAATGTCTGTAATTTTAATATTATGTTATTTAAATATAAGAAAAACTGAAAATGAATTTGCCAGACATTAATCGATTGTTAAGCCTTGAATTAAAATGTAAAAGTCATGAAAAGTATTGCAGTATAATGCTTGTAGTACGAGCATAAAAAGGAATATAAAATTTAAAAATCAACACTTTATTTAAATTGTCCTAATTACTAAATGTAAGTTATGAATAATTAATATTAAGTTTTACAAGTTGTTTTAGCCTATAGTGACGTCACAAAAAAGAGGCATCTTCATAACCATCATCATCATCGTCGCTATCTTTGTCGGTGTCATTCATATCATCTTCTTGGGAACTTTCGTTATCTTCTAAATCATCTGCAACAGAAAAAAAATAAACAGTGTAATTTTTCTTGTTCGTTATTAAACATTTTAGTTATTATTGATAAATGTTCCATTTAACACTTACTTTGAACAATAATATCTGCAACTGAGGATGGTAATTGATCTCCCAAAAACCAAACAAAATCATATTTGTCACCGTTAATGGTCCACCCAAAAGCCATTGGAGATAAAGATGTTGGATGTTTTGAGTGAGCATTTCTCCAAATTTTCGTCACGTAACGAACCCTCAATAAATGCTGTTCCAATTCCACTTTACAGGGTGGCAAACTGGATGAGTCAAAGTTTCGAAATTTTTTGTCAAAGTTCTCATCTGATTTTTTTGACTTAAACGTACTTGAAAATAAATGAAATCGAACATCATTAACAATCGAACAATTTTTAACTCCATACATTTGACAAATAAATTTCTCCAGGGTTACAAACGTAGTTTCAAGTACTTCTTTATCATCCGAAATTATATTATCAAAAGCTAACTGGTATTCCTCAGAATTTTCTAATATTTTAAAAGGCTTAACTTTGCCTTTTCTAAAAAAAAGCTGGCGTGTAATCACATCCGGTGATTGCGTGGAAGCATGGTAAAGCTTTGCATAAAGAGTCACCAAGAATTCGGTACAATTCATTGATGTTTATGTAACGCTGATGATTTCCAACACCCATATTTATCCAAATTTTCAAAGATTTTTTCAGGTGATCCATATTTCCCAGAAGTATAATTAAAATATCAGAATCAGAACAGCGTATAACAACTTCTGCGTCAAAATCGATTTGGCAAATATGAAAAATTATCCTAGAATCAGCTTCTTCGTGTTCTTCACACGATAATGATTCTTCAATAGTTTTTATTCAAGACTTAACAATCGAATTAATGTCTGGCAAATTCATTTTCAGTTTTTCTTATATTTAAATAACATAATATTAAAATTACAGACATTCTAAAATGCTTTGAAATTTTTATAAAAATAAAACTTAAAATCGCGCCTGGCACATAGTTAGCAACGTGCAAAATGTCTGGAAATAAAAAAAGTATGTCAGGTAGACGTATTTAAAAAGGAAAAATCAAAAATTACGCTTCTTAAAATGCAATGCTTCATCATACTGCAATACTTTATCATTTTAATTCAAGGCTTAACAATCGAATTAATGTCTGGCAAATTCATTTTCAGTTTTTCTTATATTTAAATAACATAATATTAAAATTACAGACATTCTAAAATGCTTTGAAATTTTTATAAAAATAAAACTTAAAATCGCGCCTGGCACATAGTTAGCAACGTGAAAAATGTCTGGCAATAAAAAAAGTATGTCAGGTAGACGTATTTAAAAAGGAAAAATCAAAAATTACGCTTCTTAAAATGCAATGCTTCATCATACTGCAATACTTTATCATTTTAATTCAAGACTTAACAATCGAATTAATGTCTGGCAAATTCATTTTCAGTTTTTCTTATATTTAAATAACATAATATTAAAATTACAGACATTCTAAAATGCTTTGAAATTTTTATAAAAATAAAACTTAAAATCGCGTCTGGCACATAGTTAGCAACGTGAAAAATGTCTGGCAATAAAATAAAGTATGTCAGGTAGACGTATTTAAAAAGGAAAAATCAAAAATTACGCTTCTTAAAATGCAATGCTTCATCATACTGCAATACTTTATCATTTTAATTCAAGGCTTAACAATCGAATTAATGTCTGGCAAATTCATTTTCAGTTTTTCTTATAATTAAATAACATAATATTAAAATTACAGACATTCTAAAATGCTTTGAAATTTTTATAAAAATAAAACTTAAAATCGCGCCTGGCACATAGTTAGCAACGTGCAAAATGTCTGGAAATAAAAAAAGTATGTCAGGTAGACGTATTTAAAAAGGAAAAATCAAAAATTACGCTTCTTAAAATTCAATGCTTCATCATACTGCAATACTTTATCATTTTGATTCAAGGCTTAATAATCGAATTAATGTCTGGCAAATTCATTTTCAGTTTTTCTTATATTTAAATAACATAATATTAAAATTACAGACATTCTAAAATACTTTCAAATTTTTATAAAAAAAAAACTTAAAATCGCGTCTGGCACATAGTTAGCAATGTGAAAAATGTCTGGCAATAAAAAAAGTATGTCAGGTAGACTTATTTAAAAAGGAAAAATCAAAAATTACGCTCCTTAAAATGCAATGCTTCATCATACTGCAATACTTTATCATTTTAATTCAAGACTTAACAATCGAATTAATGTCTGGCAAATTCATTTTCAGTTTTTCTTATATTTAAATAACATAATATTAAAATTACAGACATTCTAAAATGCTTTGAAATTTTTATAAAAATAAAACTTAAAATCGCGCCTGGCACATAGTTAGCAACGTGAAAAATGTCTGGCAATAAAAAAAGTATGTCAGGTAGACGTATTTAAAAAGGAAAAATCAAAAATTACGCTTCTTAAAATGCAATGCTTCATCATACTGCAATACTTTATCATTTTAATTCAAGACTTAACAATCGAATTAATGTCTGGCAAATTCATTTTCAGTTTTTCTTATATTTAAATAACATAATATTAAAATTACAGACATTCTAAAATGCTTTGAAATTTTTATACAAATAAAACTTAAAATCGCGTCTGGCACATAGTTAGCAACGTGAAAAATGTCTGGCAATAAAAAAAGTATGTCAGGTAGACGTATTTAAAAAGGAAAAATCAAAAATTACGCTTCTTAAAATGCAATGCTTCATCATACTGCAATACTTTATCATTTTAATTCAAGACTTAACAATCGAATTAATGTCTGGCAAATTCATTTTCAGTTTTTCTTATATTTAAATAACATAATATTAAAATTACAGACATTCTAAAATGCTTTGAAATTTTTATAAAAATAAAACTTAAAATCGCGTCTGGCACATAGTTAGCAACGTGAAAAATGTCTGGCAATAAAATAAAGTATGTCAGGTAGACGTATTTAAAAAGGAAAAATCAAAAATTACGCTTCTTAAAATGCAATGCTTCATCATACTGCAATACTTTATCATTTTAATTCAAGGCTTTACAATCGAATTAATGTCTGGCAAATTCATTTTCAGTTTTTCTTATATTTAAATAACATAATATTAAAATTACAGACATTCTAAAATGCTTTGAAATTTTTATAAAAATAAAACTTAAAATCGCGCCTGGCACATAGCAACGTGCAAAATGTCTGGAAATAAAAAAAGTATGTCAGGTAGACGTATTTAAAAAGGAAAAATCAAAAATTACGCTTCTTAAAATGCAATGCTTCATCATACTGCAATACTTTATCATTTTAATTCAAGACTTAACAATCGAATTAATGTCTGGCAAATTCATTTTCAGTTTTTCTTATATTTAAATAACATAATATTAAAATTACAGACATTCTAAAATGCTTTGAAATTTTTATAAAAATAAAACTTAAAATCGCGTCTGGCACATAGTTAGCAACGTGAAAAATGTCTGGCAATAAAAAAAGTATGTCAGGTAGACGTATTTAAAAAGGAAAAATCAAAAATTACGCTTCTTAAAATGCTTTTAAAATCCAGGATTATTACCTGGACAGATAGGATGCGCACTAATGAACGCAACCGCTACCGCCAGCCAGACTGCCCAGACTCTAACCGGAAGTGCAAGAAGGAAGACATATCACAAAATCAGCTGACCTAAAATTCTTTCTTTTCAAACGTTGCTACCTCCCGTACTATAATGGTTCTATCTGATGTCCAAATCTCGTGAAATGGCGAAGAGTGATCGGATTAGAGTCAATCCTCTCCGGGCTAGTACGTGTGTGGAATATGAGAATAAACAGGTGACATTTTTTTAGTTTATAACAATAGTATGGTTATAGGTTGGTGGACTCAGTTTCCGCACTTAGACTCATAATTGGTCCGTTGTGTGTAACAATGGTATGGTACTAGAGTATAAATATATATTATACGTAAATTACCTTAAGTTAGGTTACATATTTTTTTGTTGGTATGTACAATCATCGCACACTTGAAGCCAATATTGTGCCCTTTAGTTTTTACCACACTTATAAATTGTATTTTAACATTCTCGGTTACGATAATGTCCAATAACATAAACATGTCGTTTTTATAAATTTTACTAGTGTTATAACTCTGATCGAAAACTTTGTTAAAAAACATATAATAAAATAACCTTTAAGACTAAACAAGTTATTTATTCGAGACCAAGAAAAAGACGCTTCGGATCGTAACTTTTTGTGCTTCAAGTAATAATTTAGGCAAAACCCTAAATATACGAAATAGTTTCCATAGCTTAGGCCGAATAAGCTCGGAGATATTGACTTCCCAATTATATATAATATAATCATCTGTCATAAAAATACCAATGAAATAGTACTATTCGCTCCATTCCCCATTGGTGCTGCAGTAATTCACACCAAAACGCAGTATATCTGCCCATTGCCATCCCATCTGCCACTTATAAAGTTGGCATTTACTTCAGTATAAAATAATAGGAAATTAAATTAATTTATACAATAATACAAGTTAGATTCAAAAGGGCAAACATTGTAGAAGTTATCGCATATTATGAATAATATCAAAGCTCAGCATGTAATATGTATGTTTATATCTGCAAGAGCACGTAGCATTCAGTGCTCTTGGGTACAATGTAGATTCACATACTAGAATATCTAAATGTGTTGTTAACATAAGAGTTATTTTTTGACCATTAAGTATGATAACACTTTCACCATTAGATTGCTTCATTATACCGTAATAATATATTCATTTCTAAAGTATTTCAAAAATAAATGTCTAGCCGTGCGAGGGATATACTGAGGGAAGCGCTGATGCACTTTTTACTTAGCTTTCACGCGGATATTAAAATAAATGTTTTTATCTTAACCAAGTTTTAAGACCTGTTTTATGCCGTCATTAAAATCTACACAGTGGCTATATGAGAGAAACTAACAATTATTTAGGGTATGTTAGTTACGATTCTGCATCCACGGCTAATATGTATTTCGTGGAGGTGCTTAACCTTGGTGATAATCGTAAATGTTGATTAGCCTGGGTCCATAACTGGTCCGTTAAATTTGGATATTTTGAAAAATCTTGTAGGGTTCATCCTGCGTTTGCAATGTAAGCGGAAAAATTTTAATTATTTACGACATCACATTAGAAACAAAGAGTTTACAGGACTAATAACAGCAATTAACGATCATGTAATGTGTATAAAAAGTTATATGTTGTTAACAGAATACGTCTAAACCACTAATCGAATTTTGGTTAGAGTTATACTTAGACTAAAGCTCATCGGCTAATGTGAAAGTGGAAAGGTCTTAGCAAACTTATACCGAACTTTTTATATCCATTAACGAAAAAATCCTTAACTATTAAGAGCCAATAAATTTAGCACTTGTACTCCTTCACAAGTATTTTTTGTCAATCAAATTGCCTACGCCTACTACAAAATACGTTAACTTATTAGCGAAAAGCCTGTTGTTGAACTACATATTTTAATTTTCATTTGCAAATTGTTGACTCTCAACTAACGCTAATCATAAGATTATTGCCAATACTTTTACCAGTGAAAGAGCCGTAACACTATTTGAATAATTTAAACACTCACTCATTTAGCCCTAATCTCATGCTAGGCCCGGCAGATCTCAGCATGGCATGAGCTTCTGAATTAGTCATGTTCTTAGTGGACTGGCCATTAATTGAGGTGATTACATCACCCTCACGAATGCCGCTGAGAGATGCTTTTCGACCCGGATTCACCTGGAATTAAAAATATAATAGGTAATTACTTTGATTACATGAAGGGTTGGGGTTTTTATTTGTGTTAGGGTTGAAAAGTGATGATACAAATGAAGAATCATTCACACTACATGCACTTATTCGATTATGGAACTATCGATTTATTAGAAAAATATAACACACATATTTCCTTATATGGTTCATCATTGTTTTTGTGTCTAAGAATAAGAATGCACACTAAAAGTACCTTCTATATTTAAACCAGTTAACATTTAAAATATTAATAATATAAATATTTAATGTTGTATTTGTTGCGTATATTATTCTTGCAAAACCTTACTGCAATACTTTATTCAAGACACAATCTACTCATAAAAATAAATAAATCAGTGTCGCCCCAACCTCTTTAGGTCTTGGGCTCAGATATCTGAATCTGTTTCATGATCATTTTTAAATCTAATAGGCAAATAGGTGACACACGCCGTTGACTTTTTGGGGCTAAGACATGTCGGTTTCCTCACGATGTTTTCCTTCACCGTTCGAGCAAATGTTAAATGCGCACATAGATAGTCCATTGGTGCAAAGGGGGGATCGAACCTACGACCTCAGGTATGAGATTCGCACGCTGAAGACACTAGCTCAACACTGCTCTACCACACAATCTACTCAGGAATTGTCAATGTCAAGGATTGTAGAATACGCGCCCGAGATAATATAATGATTTTGCTCACAGTCATGTCTCCAACTTTACACTTAGACATTCTCAATAAGTTTCATTAAGTTACAAACCGCATTTGTCTCACGCCGTCGCGCAGCCGGTGAACAAAACTTCAACATGTTTCCCGGAAATCTCGACCAGCCCTAACATAATCCCCACACTACATCACTTTTATGCTGCATATAATTCACGAATCAAACAATATTAAATTAACCTATTACTACCATAATATAATACACTGTTTTTAATTGGATGGTCTTTGTAAAAACATTTCTAACACATAACTTTAAGTTTAGTGTTACATAAAACTTCCCTTCCCGCACGAGTCAGGGGTTATACTAAGTTAAGGTAAATGTTAAAGCCAATTTCATCAAACATTATATGGACATTATTCGAATATGCATGCGCCGTGAGGACGTGGCTATTGTGTTGGGGGTCGTCACTTGCTTCGAATATTAATCTTGTCCACGGCAAATCGTGCTTTGGTAGCGTTCTAATAAAGCCAATGAACTTTGTATGGTGATAATATTTCTATTCGGAAAACCTCTAAATAAATGTATAAGAATTTAGTACATTAATATTTCTTGCAAAAATACAAATTGAATTGAATGAATATCTAGACATTTATTGATTCTACTAAAAAAAGAGTCCTATAAGATTAAATTTTTCTGCTTTCTTCTTATTTTTCGTCATTATTAAAACTATATTTAAGTATAGACAAAAAGAACCCATATTATTACGTAGATACTCGCGATTAATTGAGCGGTGTAGGCCTAGTGGCATTATTGTACGATTATCGACCTTGAGGTCGTGCGTTTGATGCACGACTGTAGGCAATTTGATTTTTATTCTGTATAATCGTTTAATACTCGATTGTACGGTAAAGAAAATACATCGAGAGAATACATCTTTAAACCATAAAAATCGACAAAGAGTCAAGTTGATCACTAAAAAAAGATATCAAGAAACTCATACACGTTTTATTTATGTTTTATATTTATTGGCGATTATGTATAGTAACAGAAAAATCGTAAATGTTATTATTATATTAATTAAAGTTACGAGTGCGATAAAACTGTATCTCGGCTTTATAATGCTCATTGCAGTGATCGTGCGTGTTACGAGCACTTAGCTTCAAGTGATAACCGCATAATCATTTACATACATGCCTTAATTTTCATACATTTGTACGTGATTTTCAGTATTATGCTGTAAGGAAATGCATAATTTCGTTTGTGAATTTCATAGTCGCTGGGGTTACCCAAGTAAGGAATGTTTTTAAGAAAACCCTTTCATATAAAAATATATAAAACATTACAACTCGTAACAATTTCCTCTAGTAATGGATGTAGAACTGGAGCGTAAAAACAGTGAAATGTATTAATTAATAGTTAATATTGCTTGGTATAGCACTAGAGTAGAAATCGCCCTTTGTTCTTGTTTTACCTTTCCAATCGCTTGCAGTAATAAATGATTACTACTACATATATTGAAAAAGTCCTAATGTTTATCTTATCTATATAAACCAATAAAATCTTAAACACTTTCTAAATTGTATGAGAATTGAGGGTAATATTATGCAGAATTTTTTAAAGGCAATGAATATCGAATGAAACTTAAGGAAATAAAAGGTCTTCAAGTTCTCTAAGAGTCTGTAAGATAGTGTAGATAAGTGCAGATAAACGCTTTGTGAGCGCAGCGTTCGCACTTATTGAAAATTTTATGATAATCAGATCGTTATTTTTACATTTAAAACTTAAAATTATAGTTCTGATACTATAATAATATATTACAAAAACGTTTGTTTTATATAGTTAAATGTAATCCTAATTACGTTTTATTACTGAGTTTCATCATCGGACGTCAAGGCAAAATACAAAATACCATCCGTATCACCTAGACGTCCGTCGTTCCACAACAGAGCGTTTTCTAAGGCAGTTTTTGCCGCGCACCACCACTATGTGGAACCAGCTGCCCACACAAGTATTTCCGAACCAATTCGACTTAGGGTCCTTCAAGAAAAGAGCGTACCAATTCTTGAAAGGCCGGCAACGCACTTGCGAGCCTTCTGGCATTGTGAGTGTCCATGGGCGGCGGTATCACTTAACATCAGGTGAGCCTCCTGCCCCTTTGCCTCCTATTACATTAAAAAAAAATAATACCGCCATTAAGCTACAAAAATCGTTCAACAATACAAAAATTGATTTTTTCGTTAGACTACATTTCAAAAACACTAAGGTACTTGGCTTTTATTAACATAACTTTATAATAATACATAGCTTTAATCCGGAAAAAAGTGTTTTCTTTAAACACTAACGCTAATTGACTCGTGGTTATAATAATTCACAAGAAGGTGCATTAAAAGATGAAGCAAGTCGTAGTTAAAATTTACAACTTGCAAATCAGTTAGAATTTTCTCAAGAATAAATTTCGCCCTAATCGCCCGCCCTACATTTATACGTAAGCTTGAGACACTTAAGATACGCCTATATTGCTATACTATTAAATGGATATTAGCAAATATAAATTCCAATGCTTTTAGAACATACCAGACACAGTTGTATTAATATTAATGGCTGGATTCCAAAATCAACATATAGTTTTAATGTTTAATTCAAAGTGGGTACCTACTTTGTGGATAGTACTTTTTGTACTATTTAGTTGGACGAGGTGTTTTTAATTTAACTCTAAGTAGTACATTTTCTTACTTAACCAAGTTAAAGCAAAAGTTGCTAGAACTAACATTTGTCTTCATTTTAATTAAATATAGTTAAGCGATCTTAAATCAACTCCCGAGTTTGTGTCAAGATATTCTTGAAAGAAGGAATCTGTAGAAACATTCAAGTGGGTTAAATCTGTTCAAACAATATTTTTTGCTAAGTAAGGCGAGCCCTGACTAGTTGCACGTAAGCGTAGTAGTGTTTTTACTCGCTTTAAAGTTGGGTTAGGTATTTTGGCGTTATGCCTTCATTAAATAAATTTTAGTTTTCTACTATACTAATAAGAAAATCATAAAAATCTATATACATTTTTACCTTTTTATTATACTGAATACATGTTTTCAATAAAAACATGAATGTACGTATTAATAAGGAATTTGCTGAAAAGTAACATTATAGGAAGCGACGTAACCAGAATAACAAGGACCGTCAGAGATTTGAGGGTACACAGTAAATCTGTAGTAGTATTAGCGACGTTGAGATTATAGTAGTTCAAAGTTGCCTGGTCAGTCAAACTATTGGATCGAAATTCCTTGCACGTATGACCCGTGACTGAGACGCACGTGAGCCATTTTACGTTATCAGTACGATAGGGATATACTGATAAACGCCAAAGTTTGTTAAGAAAGATGGTTTTTTACTTTTAGTATTAAAACTGGTGATCAAATTTGACGATTTACATCATTAGGTAAAGTGAAAGATGTGGTGGCACAGTAAAACCTACTTGTACCAATCTCTTTGGTAATTTTAAAATATATGAACAATAAAGAAAAAAAGAAAGATTTATGGTTGACTTGCAACGTTAACACGTACCGATTGTTTTTAATTGTTAATAATGTTATATGAAGTTCTGTGGAACAAAGATGTAAATAATGCATACATCTTATTGCCCTACATTTCCCATGAGATCTACAATAAAATAAAATATAGACAGTTGTTGTAGTTGACAACGTGTCAAGTGTCACAACGAATACGAATTTTATCAAACTTCAGAACACGAACATACCCGATTATATACTGTGTAAATATAATAACACAATAATTCATTAAAAAATATTCAGTAAACTGAACTACTTTTTAAAAACATGTTAACAACGCTTATAGCATTAATTTAATCGTTTAAATTGAACCATCTGTTTAAATGTACCGATTTTGGTGTTAAAATTATCATGAATCAGCTCCATAAGTGTCAGATCTGTAATAAAATATTGAAACTGATGTCGTAAAATATTTGCAAAAGTAAGCCATAACTTGGGTTTAACGGGAACACCTTCTTCAATTTAATAAAGGAGGGTTGGATTGTGGCCAAGGACAATCCCGTTTGGCTGAAGGTTTTATTGCTATTAACAGCCTAACGAAGACGTTGATACAAAATTGCTGATATGATATTTGATCGGAATGTGCATAGAATGTATTAACTAAAATATCTTAGATAATCCTCTCTGTGTATGCTTTTCTTTCACAGACTTTTTGCCTTATTATAAACAATTAAATACAAAAAATGTAAAATAATTGTAAATACATAACTTCATCCGGTAAAAAATTGTTTTATTAAATTAAATACAAATGTATTTATTAAATAA